TGGAGCTTAGGAAGAAATGCTGTCAAACTATTACTTTTTTTCCCCTTAGGGTTTATAGGCATGAGCTGCTGGCACCTGGTGACAAATTATTACTTGAACAAAAAACATAGGGGCTGGGAATACGACTTAGTGATAAGAGTGCTTGCCTAGCATGCATGAAGCCTTGGGGGTTCAGTTCCTCGGTACCACATAAAAAGACAAAAGCCAGAAGTGGCACTGTGGCTCAGGTGGTAGAGTGCTAACCTTGAGCAAAAAAATGCCCAGGGACAGTGCCCAGGCCCCTGAGTTCAAGCCCCAGGACTGGCCACAAAAAAAAAAAAAAAAAAAAAAGCTTGGGAGCTGGTGGCTCACACCCATAATGCTAGCTACTCAGAAGACCGAGATCTGATGATTGCAGCAGTTCAAACCCAGCCAGTGCAGGAAAGTCCATGAGACTCTTATCTCCAATTACCCACCAGAAGACAGGAAAAAGAGCTATGGCTTAAAGTGGTAGAGCTCTAGCCTTGGGCAAAAAGAGCTCAGGAGGAACAGCACCCAGGCCCTGAGTTCAAGCCAACATATATGGGAAAAATACATAGATGGATAGATATTTCTACCATAAACTATTAAACCAAAGCTAGCTCACCCTGTTTTTGAAGTGGCATTTCCCTCTGGACATGGGATGAAGCACGTTTAGTTCTAACAGCTAACAGTACTCTTGAAGAACAACAGGAAATTTAAGACTACACAGCAAGTGTAGTCATCTTGCCCACTGTCAAGATTAAAAGGTAAGTCCACAAAGTGGCCTTTTGTAGTTCTCTTACCACAAAAATACAATGTCCCTCCTGCCACTAAAAAATACACAAAATGTTTAATTCAAAGGTGGAGCAAGTAAAGCAACCTGCTTCCTCTCAGCAGGTAGGGCGGAAAATCAATTCTGCCAGGTGCAAACAAACAAATCTACTCAATTGTAAACTATTTCTTAAAAATGTCAACATTCCAACACACAATCTTCACTTTCTACCCAATAAAGGTCTCTTGGTCACCATGTATGTGTGCTCAGAGACAAACCTCACAAGTGCTAAGCAAGAAGTCCCATGCAAAACAGTCTGAAGGCGGAAGAGAGATGTTTCCTGTGTGCTCACCAGCTGCTTTCTTCTATCATAGTGTACAAAACTTATTCTAGATTCCCTTTTAAACAAAAAGGTAAGCACTTCTTGGCTATCAATTCCAGTACAAATTCCTAAGAAACTAAAAGTCACTGGGAAGACTGGATCCAGCGGCAATGGCACCTGCCACTTCCTTCAGGTGAGCTCCCTTAGGCCTGGAGGAATTAAAATTGCTCTCTCCTGCCAGGGACCCCTGGCTCACGCCTGCAATCCTAGCTACTCAGGAGGCTGAGATCTGAGAATTGCAGTTCAAAGCCAGCATGGGCAGGAAAGTCTGTGAGACTCATCTCCAATTAACCACCAGAAACCCGGAAATGGCGCTGTGGCTCAAGTGGCAGAGCGCTAGCCTTGAGCTGCAGAGCTGAGGGACAGTGCCCAGGCCCAGAGTTCAAGATCCACAACCCACCACCACCAACAACAAAAAATGCCTCCCCTTTACAAGGTACCAAAACAAACATTTTATCTTCCCATACAAAGTTTGATGTTTTGGGGTTTTGTTTTGTTCAGTCATGGGGATTGAACTCAGGACCTGGGCGTCAAGCTCTTTTTCTTCATGGCTAGAGCTCTACCACTTTGAGTCACAGCTCCACTTCCACCCATACAAAGTTTTTGAAAGTATAACATAAATTTATGTTACAGAAGATTTTGTTACTGTTGTTTGTTTGTTTGTTTTTTGTATTGGTACCTGGGCTGGAACGTGGGGCCTCATGCGCCTCTGCTTTACTACCTGAGCCACACATACAGTCCAACATTTCACTGGTTAACTGGAGATGGAGCCTCTAGGACTGGTCTCAACAGGCTGGCTTTGAACCTCAACCCTCCAGGTCTTGGCTCCTAGTAGACTGAATTACAGATGTGAGCTACCAGTGCCAGGCTCTATACAGGTTTTAGTTTTTATTTAGGAGGGCAAGTACTAGGCCTTGAACTCAAAGCTTGGTCACTGTCCCTTAGTTTTTTCACTCAAGGGTAGTGCTCTACCATTTGGAGCCACAACTCTACTTCCTTTGTACAGGTTTTAAACTGAATACAACCAAAGAGAAGAAAGGACCTCTAAAATAAATTCTAGATGGTTGATGGCTTGGTAATAGAGCACTTGCTGAACATGTGTGAAACACTGGGTTCAATTCCTAGCATCATCATTAAAAAAAGAGTAATTCTGATCTGGGCAGGGGTGGCTTACACCTACAATCCTAATCAGGATGCTGAGATCTGAGGATTGTGGTTTGAACTAGCCTGGACAAGAAGTCTATGAAACTCTTATCTCCAATTAAGTACCAACAAAGCTGGAAGTGGAGCTGTGTTTTAGGTGGTAGAGCACTAGCCTTGAGCACAGAGGCTCAGGGACAGCACCAGGCTGAGTTCAAGCCCCAGCACCAGGGTGCAAAAAAAAAAAAAAGTCTAAAATACCTTTATAGGCAAAAGGTGTTTTACTTTCTTCAGTCCTTTCAAATCTCAGAAAGGGCTGGGAAGGTGGATCAGTGGTAGAGTACTTGCCTTGCATGCATGAGGCCCTGGGATAGATTCCTCAGTACCACATAGGCAGAAAAAGCCAGAAGTGGCACAATGGCTCAAATGGTAGGGTGCTAGCCTTGAGCTGAATAGCTGAGGGACAGTGTCCAGGCTCAGAGTTCAGGGGAGGGAAAAAAAACTTAGAAGAAAAAGCTTAATTTGCCAGGTGCTGGTGGCTCAAGCCTGTAATCCTAGTTACTCAGGAGGCTGAGATCTGAGGATCGCGGTTCAAAGCCAGCCCGGGCAGGAGAGACTGTGAGACTCCTATCTCCAATAAACCACCAGAAAACCGGAAGTGGCGCTGTAGCTCAAGTGGTAGAGCACTGGCCTTGAGCTGAAGAGCTGAGGGACAGCGCCCAGGCCCAGAGTTCAAGCCCCACGACCGACAAAAAAAAAAAAAGAAAAGAAAAAGCTTAATCTACAAAAAATAAAAACAAAAACACAGAATCAAACCCAAAAAAGGAAATCTTTTTTCTTGTCCCCAAATCAGGCAATAGCTATTAACCTGAAAAAATTCATCATGAAGCTTTTCTACCTACTCTACCTTGACAAGAGAAGAGACAAGTATAATCCATCACAAGAGGACTCCTAACCACCTCCTAGTTCCTCTTGATCCCACCACCACCTTCCCTAACATCTACCCCACCAGGCTGGGGAATTCCAGCCTGAAACAGCGCACCAAGTGCTTAGTATTCTGTGAGGCCACAAAACTGTGAAATGGAAAAGAACACTTACCCCCAAACCTCAAGTACAACTAAAAACACCAAAAACAAATAAGAGCAAAAATTTAACAACAGCTCAAGGCCAGAAGCCTTGGAAGCAGCACACACACACACAAAGACCGGTTCAGCCAGGCCATGGGCGGCTGAGACCTGTAATCCTAGCTACTCAGGAGGCTGAGATCAGAGAATTGGGGTTTGAAGCCAACCCAGGCAGAAAATTATCAAACTTCTGAATAACCATTCAAAAGTGGTAACTGGAAGTGGCTCAAAATGGTACAGGTGCCAGCAGTGAGACCAAAAAACAAAAAAAACCAAGCGGGAGACCTTGAGTTCAAAATCCAGGTAATCCCTCGCTAAAAATTCTCATTGGGTAGGGCTGAGAGAGGGGGGAAGGGGTGACAATGACCAAGATGTACTCATAACCTCACTTATGGAACTGTAACCTAATAATGAAATTTAACAAGATAAATACAATAAAGGTTCTCATTAGTCAGGAGCCCATGGCTCACACCTGTAATCCTAGAGGGCCGAGTAGGACACTAATCTCAAATTAACAAAACGCCAGAAATGGAACTATGGGTTCAAGTAGTAGAGAGCTAGCCTTGATGAGGGGGGAAAAAGTTAACTCAGCACCCAGGCTAAGTTCAAGCGCCAGATGGGTGGGCACAAGCACATCCAAAATATAGTCCAAAGCATTTCCGGTGAGGGATACGGAGCCTGTTCCAGCTCCTAAGGCTTTCACGAACCGAGTTTCAATACGTGTGAAGAGCTTAACGGGGCCCCTGGGTGTCGTGGACTGTGGCAGGAAGACGCTAGAATGTCATCTACAGGCGCGGGCGCTCGTGATAATTCTCACAAGCCTGTTTCGGTACCGTGTGTCTAGAAGCGGCCAGATGGCCTCCGGGGGCTCCTCCGAGAAGGGCCACGGGAAACACCGCAGGGGGTCCGGGGCCGGGACCCCGGGCTCGACTCGCCTCCCCGCCTTCTAATCAGGCTCAGCAGACGGCGGCAGCCGGGCCGAGGTCTTATCGCGACCCCGCAGCGCTGGCCGGGCGGCCCGAGAGGCGCTAAGGAGGGCCACACGCCGGGCGGCTCCGGAGCGGGGCAGGCCGTGCGCCCCGCGCGGCCCTGCGGACCCCCGAGTTCCCTCCGGGACTCTCCGCCCTGGAAGGAAGGTGGCTTTACCACCGCGCACGACTCGAGGCCCGCCGGGAGCCCCGCGCCCGCCGGCCGTCGAGCCGCGGGGAGCTCGTGCCTCGTCACCCCGGAGGAGCGGCCGAGCGGAGGCCGCGCCGGGCCGCCCGTCCCGCCCCGCACGGTCCCCGCGCACGGCGCTGGCGGGAGGCGCGGGCCCGGGCTTCACGTGCGCGCCGGAGGCCCGCAGGGAGGCCCGCGGCGGGAACAAAGCGGCGCTGACCTTCAGCCGGGGGCGGGCGGAGCGGAGGGAGGGGAGACCGCCCGCCGCCCCGCGGCCCAGCCCGCCGCCGCCGCCCCGCGGCCCAGCCCGCCGCCGCCCCGCCCCGCCCGCCGGCCCGGGCCGCCGGCTTCCGAGACGGCGCCCTCCGCCCGCCCGGTCTCCACCGGAGCCCGCCCAGCCCCTCCCCACCCGCCGCGCCGTTACCCGCGGGCGTCGCGCGCTCCGCACCTCGCGCCTCCAGCGGCAGTGGCGGCCGAGCCTCAGTTCGCTCCGGGGCTGCGCCGCGGTGGCTGCCAACAAACCCGCCTCCTATTGGTCGCGCTTTCTGGCCCCGCCCTCCGCCAGCAAGGCGGGCTACGATTGGAGAGTTGTGGCGCAAGTGGATTGCGCCTGGGAGGTGAGGGAAATGTCCAATCAGAAGCCGCGGGGGCGTGGCGCGCCGCGCTTCGGCTTGAGAACCGAATGCAAATAGGATGTGTCACGTGCGCCGCCGGGCGCCGCAGTGAAGGGGTCCCGGGGCGCCGCGCGCGGGTGGCGCCGGTCCCGCTCCCGCTCCCGCTCCCGCCGCGGCCGGCCGCCCGGTGCCGCCGGGTCCCCCGGCAGTGGGCGGGGCCTCCTGACGTCCGCAGGGCCTGTGACCCCGGGCCCCTGCCCTAAGCACGCGTGTCCAGGGCGGTGGGGGAGAGGCGTGAGGCGTCCGCCCGAGGTCCGTGTGTCCGTGTGTCCCGGCGCCGGAGGACCTCGCTCCGCTCCCGGGACGGGGACGGGGCGGGATGCAGCCGGGCCGCGCTGGGGCCTGCCCCCCCTCTGGCCCAGCGGGGGGGGGGCCTAGCTCCCACGTGAAGCTGTTCAGCAGCACCAGTTACGTGAAGCTCCCAGCCCGGCCTGGGCTCCGCGGGAGACAGCTGAGGATGGATGGATCACTGCTCAAAGCCACCTGGGACTCTTCATCTCCAATTAACTTCCCCAAAGAGCCGGAAGCGGCGCCGTGGCTCAGGTAGTAGAGCTAAGCCTTGAGGACTAAAGGCCAGAGACGGCGCTCGGGGCATGAGTTCAAATCAAACCCCAGGACAGACACACACATACACAACGAAAATCTACTCCAGGGGCTGGGAAGGTGGCTCAGTGGTAGAGCGCGTGCCTCGCATGCATAGGCCCTGGGTTCGATTCCTCAGCACCACATAAGCAAAATCAAGCCGGAAGTGGCGCTGTGGCTCAAGTGGTAGAGCGCTAGCCTTGAGCTGAAGAGCTGAGGGACAGCGCCCAGGCCCAGAGTTCAGGCCCCACGACTGGACCCCAAAAAAAAAAAAAAAAAAAAGGAAATCTATTCACACTTTGTGGGCTAGTTCAACTCTACACTGGACTGTAGACGTTTGTTTTAGGCTTCCAAGATTTTTCTTTGAGGTTACTTCTGAAACTAATATTTGTGAAGCAAATTATTCCAGTGTCATGCATTTCATAACCCAGAGTAAATTAAAATCATGTAAAGGTTGAGTTCAAGACAGAGTTTGACTACAAATAGAGATGGTGAGCTTGTGCCTGAGGCCTGGATGCCACACCCAGAGCCCTGAAACCGGTAGTGTTCTAGATTCAGCTTTAACTATCATGGTGATTATGCTTTGCCTTCGTTAAGAATGGGAGACACTAGAAGATAGAAAAGCTGAGGCTGGGACATCAGGCTTTTCTCCTCATTTGGGATAATCTGTGGGACCAAGGGAGGAGTTTTTCACGAAAAACAGCTTTTAAGCACCTGTGCCAACTTTCCCTAAGAACTTTCGCTTTCAGCTGGTGCCCCACCAGCGCCGTGAACCACCGCCAACTTTGGGTGGCTGTGTGACTTGACTTTGTGGGTCTTTCCTCAACTGCCCCTTGCCCCTCTCCCCCACCATGAGCAACACTGGCAACTGAGCTTCTTGGGAAGAAGGGGTAGGGGGAGGATAGCCAAGGATTTAGGGTAGCAGCAGGTGGCAGGCAGGGTTGGCACACACCTGTAATCCTAGCTACCCAAGAGGCTAAGATCTGAGGATCGCCATTCAAAGCCAACCTGGGCAGCCCTGAGTTCAAGCCTCAGTACCAGCACAGGAAAAAAAAATACTCAACAGGGCTTAGCACATGTGGTCAGCCAACAGCACTGTAGCCAATATGGGTGTTACTTAGTACCCTGAAATATGGTATGTCTCTGGGCTTACCCAAAATATAGGGACAATGTGGGGCTTTTCCTCAGATCAGCTTCTCTTCTACTGTCTCTTCCCTTCACCAAGAGTTGCCACATTGTTATCATTTCAAATAGGCAGTTGTAGATAGCCCCCTTTATGTCTCTAAAAGCACTTACTTATTTAGTACCTGTACTGGGGCTTGAACTCAGAGCCTGGGTGTTGTCCACTTCTGGCTTTTTCCTGGTTAGTTGAGAAGAGTCTCACAAGCTTTCCTACCCTCGCTGGCTTCAAACTGAGCTCCAAAGATCTCAACCTTTCTGAGTAGCTGGGATTACAGATATAAACCGCTGGTACCTGCTATAACTTATCATTTAAATGAGGGAAAACAACTGCTTTGTTTGCTGCTTCCTGGTGTCAACTAGAGTCTGGCCCTTTATAATGCTTATTAAAAATAATATAATTTCCCCATCTCCTCACTCATCTCTCTGGTCACATTTCCTCCCTAAACTGCTTTGGTCCCTCAAATCTTAAAAGCTGTACAGGGAGGAGAGAGAACTCTTGGGTGGCTCTGGAATGACTAGGGAAGGGATGGGTTTCTTCTTTCCCTAGGGCTAACCTGCCTCACTGCTACTCAGGAGGTCAAGATCTGAGGATCAAGATTTGAAGCCAGCCTGAACAGGGAAGTCTGTACAACTCATCTTCAGTTAACCACCAAAAAGCAGAGTAGAACTGTGGCTCAAGGGGTAGAATACCAGCCTTGAGCAGAAAAAAGTCAAGTGAGAGCATGAGGCACAAAAACATAAAGATATAAAAAAAAAATATGCATTTACTCCAGAGAGAACACAAAATGCAGTCTCAGTGCAGGCAAAGGAGAGCCACAGGCTAATTCTGTAAAGGTCACCGTTCCAAAGGTAACTGCACGGTGACAGGAGTTCTTACTGCTGGGACTCCCAACCTCTACAGAGAGGCTTGAAAGTATTGGAATGCCTAGAGCCACCCTGCACCCTCCCGTTCCTCACAGTCAGCCTGGTATCACCTACTCCACAGCCCGCCCATGCTGGACATGGCAGCACCTGCCCGGGGAGCCCTCTCTCACAGACTCCCTGTGCTATCTTTAGGAACATGAGCAGCCCCCAGCTATCTGTGGTGCTGGCTGACCAGGCTACCTCCGCATCTGGCCTTGTTGGCTACTCCTCTGTGTGTGTGAGTGCACACACGTGCACTGGTCCTGGAACTCAGGGCTGGGGCGCTGTCCCTGAGCTTTTGTGCTCAAGGCTAGCACTCTACTGCTTGAGCCACAGCTCCACTTCTAAATTTTTTAATGGTTAATAAGAGATGTCTCACAAATGCTGGGTGCCGGTAGCTCACACCTGTCAACCTATTTACTCAGGAGGCTGAGATCTGAAGATCACGGTTCAAAAGCCAGCCTGGGCAGTAAAGTCTGAGACTCTTCTCTCCAATGAACCACCAGAAAACCGAAGTGGCGCTGTGGCTCAAGTGGTAGAGCACTTGCCTTGAGCTGAGGGACAGCGCCCGGCCCAGAGTTCAAGCCCTGCAACTGACAAAAAAAAGTCTCACACTTTTCTGCCCAGGTTGGCTTTGAATGGTGATCCTTAAATCTCAGCCTCTTGAGTAGCTACGATTACAAATCTGTGCTACCCCTGCCTTGCACGTGCTGCTACTCTAAGTCCTTGGTTACTCTCCCCCACACCCGTCTTCCCAAGCTCAGTTGCCAGTGTGCTTGCTCATGTGTGTGTGTGTTGGGGGGAGACCAAGGGGCAGTTGAGGAAAGACCCACAAAGTCAAGTCACACAGCCACCCAAAGTTGGTGGTGGTGCATGGCGCTGGTGGGGCACCAGCTGGAAATGAAAGTTCTTAGAGAAAGTTGGCACAGATGCTTAAAAGCTGTTTTTGGTGAAAAACTCTTGACTCCTCACTTGGTCTCACAGATTATCCCAAATGAGGAGAAAGGCCTGATGTCCACTGGCCTTGGTGGGTGGGTGTTTGTGGACAGTCCTGGATGCACCCCAACCCAGCAGATGCACCAGCTGTGATTCTGTTAAGTCAGGTGAAAAGCCAAGTGAGAGCATGAGCATGAGCACGAGGCAGTGACTTACAAGCCTCAGCACTGATTCTCACGTACCCGTGCGCGCCGTACACGCACACGTGCACACGCACACGTGCACACACACGCACACGCAGAGCTGCTTTCACTCCCACGACTGAGGTGCAATCCTGGCCTCAGTGCCTCCATGTTCTATTGTCTTGGCTCTAAGCCATTCTGTCTAGTCACCGCAATCCCCTCAGGTTCCACCATGGATCCCTAACCTCTTTACAAAGGAAGCTGGAATCCCAGCTCTCCCCCCAGAGCAAGAGCCTGGCTTCTTCAACTGTGTTTTTTTCCAGTGATGGTACTGGGACTTGAACTCTGGGGACTTGGAGTTGTACATTAGCCTTTCTACTCAAGGCTAGTAGATAGAGCCACTGATCTACTGACTTTTTGCTGGTTAAGTGGAGAGAAGATTCACTTGGATGTGCCTACCCAGGCTGGCTTCAAACCTTGATCCTCAGATCTCAGCTTCTGGAGTAGCTGAGATTACAGATTACAGCACCCAGCCCTTTGTTCCACTTTCTACTTTGAGCAGCACTGGGTAAGGAGCAACTCTGTCTTCAGCTGGGGCCGTGTGGCAACCGAGTGTCACAGAAGGAGGAGAAATGCCCAGTGCTGTCACTGATGGAGAACCAGGTTTTAGAGAGGGGCATACTCCGTTGGTGACAATTGGTACTTTCCAGTTTTCTCCATCTTCCAAGTACATGCTTCTAGATTTCACTTCGTTATTCTTTTCTGTGCTCCAGTTGTACCAGGTTTGGCTAGGAGACACTCCTGTAGACTTTTACTTCAAAGTAATTGTAGATGTCCTAGTTGTCACGCAGCCCTGAGAGGTCCCAAGAGCCCTCTCCATGGGCCTCCCGATGGTCACCAGGCTGTGTGGACAGCCAGCCCTGTGCCAGTCACCACCACATAGGCAGAGCTTTGCAATCATACACTCCAGATGGGATGGCTGATGACTCCCCCCACCCCCCACCCAGCACAGCGCCTGGCAGCCAAATCTGTCCCCATTCCTACAGC